AACCCCAAGATGCTGCCTGGTCGGCTGATCTCAACTCCCTCCCCACTCTCCTTGACTGCCGGCTACACTAGCATCCTCCCTGTTCCTCAAACATAGTCCTGTCCCAGGACCTTTGCACTTGTTCTTCCCTCTTCCTGGCTTGCTATTCACACAGATATCCATCCACTCTGGCTCGGTTCTTCAGTTCATTTAAACATATGCTCAGATGTCCTTTACATAGGGAGCCTTAACTCCTAGAACACTAGCTGACATGCAGCAGGTGCTCAATAAATATCCAAAATACCAATCCAAATGATCATGAATTCCATTCAGTGTAATAATGACATTTCAGCTATGCAAGAAAATATGACAACGTCTATATTTGAAATGGGGCAATTTTTTTGGGAAGATTTTATTTTTAAGTAATCTCTACACCCAATGTGGTGCTTGAACTCATAACCCTGAGATCAAGAGTCACACGCTCTACTGACTGAGCCAGCCAGGCATGCCAAGTGGGACAAATCTTAATACTGTTGAAGCTGGATGAGAATTCATGCAACTTCATTATACCATATCTTGGCTGCTTTTGTTTACATTTCAGATTTTCCATAATAGAAGAAAATTTTAACCAGGATAGGAAGAATAGTCCCCAATATCTAGTTTTTTTCCTCTCCTCTTCCTCTGATTTATTTTCCTTCTTAGTACTTATTGCCACATGGGGCGCATGGTTGGTTCAGTCAGGAGAGCGTGCAACTCTTGATCTCGGGGTTGTGAGTTCAAGCGCCACGTTGGGCATAGAGATTAATGTGTGTGTGTGTGTGTGTGTATGTGTTTGTATGTGTGTGTATGTTAGGTTTTTAAAAAGCACGTTGGAGAATAGTGGTGTATAATACTCTACTGCTCTGGACTCATAATCTCTGTCCCATGCTCAGAAGCAAAAGCCAGTCCTCCCCAGCCGGGAGCCCAGGCTCCTGCTTGTCTGGAAGGAACTGGGACATTTTATGTGCTGGCCTCTGGGGCCATGGCTGAGCTGGGGAGGGACCTTGGCTAAAAAGCTTGATTTATTGGCAGCCAAGAATGCTTTATATTCCAGGTTCATAACATATGAAAGAAACGCTAGGCAAAGCTCAAGGACAGTATGATCCAAATTCTGTTTTTGCATAAAAGAGCTGGAAGGAACTATATTCAAATGTTGGCTTTTTACATATGGTGGTGTGATGGGTGCGTGTTACTTTTAGAAGAAGGAAGGAAGGAAGGAAGGAAGAATGGGAGAGAGGGAAGGAGGAAAAAGTATGCAGCGCCCTCTCCACATCCCCCCCCCCAAAGGATTCTACAATTTGGTCAAAATAAAAAATATATGGAGGGGGTGCCTGGGTGGCTCAGTTGGTTGGGCGACTGCCTTCGGCTCAGGTCATGATCCTGGAGTCCCGGGATCGAGTCCCACAT